CCATTGTCTACAAGAATTCGCCATGTTGTTACTTTAAAGTAAGTATTATCCATTTGTACAATTTATAGGAAAAATTATTTGAAAATACAATTTGCTGTGGAATAAAAATTATTTAAAATTAATTAAAATAAAATTTAAAATTTTTCTTGAACTTCTTTCTATAAATATTTACTATAAAAAATTTAACAACTCTAGTAAGTCCTGCAAACCACAAAAATACCTAAAATTTGCCTTAAATTTATCTTTTACCTTGACTTGAAATCATAATATGAATTTGAAAACGAAACTTTTAATTATTAAAATTTCATGAAATATTTTTATTTTGAATTATTGAAAACATTTTAGTTTAATAAAACAATTTAAATTAAAATATTAAAAATAAGATTGCTAAGTTTCCGGAAATAAAAAATTGTCGTGAAACTTTTTTCTCAATTAGAAAAAACTTACACTAAACTCGTAAGTTTAGTCAGGAAATATAAAATCTTATACCAAAAATTAATTTTCTTTATTAGATTTCGTCTGTAAATTTCAAATTACCAACTTTGCATTGCTTTTTCTTTCTTACTAAAAATTGCAGTTATTTGAAGAATAAATTTGTTAATTAATAAAAGCATGCTTTATTGTTAATTTCAATGATTTGGTTTTATAAAGTATTTATTTTAACAAAGTTAAAAATTTATTTTCAAAATTTTATATATAGTCAGGATATTTAAAAAAATGGTACAGAGAACTTGGAAATCTCACGGTGTTTTAAAATTTTAAATCTTTTGCAAACTTGATAATTGAAAATTTATTTAAAATTTTTTGTTTGTACTTAAAATTTTGTTGTTATGAAATAAAAAATAAAAAAAATTCAAATGTTATGGAATAATTAAATAATAATTGAAGCAATAAATAAGTTTTAAATTAAATTATAGTAATTATAAGTCTTATTCAAATTTTCGTGCCATATAAGACTTATTGAAAGTTCAGTGCTATACAATTCTTATTCAAGTTTCCGTGCAATACAATTCTTATTTAAATTTCCGTGCTATATAATTCCTATTCAAAATTGCGAACAATATAATTCTTATTTAATATTAAATGTAAAATATTTTTTGGTTAACAGAATGATATGCTCAAAATAGTTTGAGATATATTTAAAAAGTAAATTAGATATAAAACGCGTTTCATTCATGCGTATTATCAATTATGGGACCGTTCACAAATTACGTAACGTTTTTCTGGGGAAATTTTAAACCCCCCACAAACCCCATGTAACACACTGTTACATATGTACTTTAGCGACATTTTTTTGCTGATCATAACAGATAACTTGACCCCCCTCCCCTTTAAAATGTTACGTTATGCAAAAGATTCATTTCAAGAAAAAGTAAACACTCATAATGCGAGTAGTCAGGAAAAGTAGCTCGAATTAGGAAAAATTATTTCTAATTTAATTACTGTGATTACTGTTAAATCTGATTATTGAATTTTAAAGATATGTTGTTTTTTCTATTTTTGGTCCTAATATTTTTTATTCTTTTACCTATTGTTCATGTTCATTTAATTTCAGGAACTTATTTAAAAAACATTTTGTTATTAATAACATAAACAATAATTTCCAATAAATAATAATTTTGTTGTTATTAGCAAAATATTTATTATTATTGTTATTATCAATAAAAATAAAAATTCAAAAAAAAATAAACAAGTACCATTCTCATGCAAATGACTTTTAGTTATTGCAACATTTGCTCCCAATAGGGAATTTTTAAATTTGTCCCTCAGTTTAAAATCAGTAGCACAAAAATTTTCCGGAATGTAGTTAGTTTCCTTCAGAATGAAATATTTGTGTTGTAATATCCATTTATGTGATTAGTTCTAGCACGTTAAATTTTTAATTGTTAATTGTCAGAATCATAATGAGAATCCCAGAATTTGTAGCAGAAATCTGCTAAGGGGTACAAATTTTCCTTCTGAAAAATGTAAATAGTCTATTACATAAGGAGCGTTCACAAATTACGTAACATTTTAAAGGGAAGGGGGGGTCAAGTTATTTGTTACGATTAGCAAAAAAATGGCGCTAAAGTAAATATGTAACAGTGTGTTACATGTGGTTGGGGGGGGGGTTAAAATTTCCTCAGAAAAACGTTACGTAATTTGTGAACGGTCCCATAATTGATAGTATGCATGAATGAAACGCGTTTCATATCTAATTTACTTTTTAAATATATCTCAAACTATTTTGAGCATATCATTCTGTTAACCAAAAAATATTTTACATTTAATATTAAATAAGAATTATATTGTTCGCAATTTTGAATAGGAATTATATAGCACGGAAATTTAAATAAGAATTGTATTGCACGGAAACTTGAATAAGAATTGTATAGCACTGAACTTTCAATAAGACTTATATTGCATTGCAGTTTCAATAAGCATTATATGAACGGGAGGCGTCGAACTGTAAAATAATTGAAAATAATTTCAGAAAAATTAATTTTATTGACAAATAATTGACAAATACTTGAATTGAGTCAGTTTGTGCAGAAACTTAAATCTCGCTGCACAATGTAAAACATATGTCACATAGATTACGTAATTATTTATCAATATCATTTAAATTTAAACCAATTTTCTATGATCAAGTGACATCTTCTATGTATACAAAAATAGACTTATTCTGTGTCTGCACAAACTGAACAAACTTAATTATTTTTGAAAACTTATTTTACCAAAATTTAAAAAAATTATTTAACATTCTTTTCAAACAAGTTATTTAATAATCATAATTTTTATTGTATTTTTATAAGCAATAGGTCCTTTTGCTCTTACTAGATTAGCGTCACTTCTGTTTATCACTTTTTGTTAAAAATATATTTTGTTTAAGAAATATAGAAAAGAAAAATATCATTTTATAAATAATTTTTCAACAAAATATTCTTAAGAAAAAAAAATTACAGAGAACCGTTCACAGAAGAATAACTGAGCTATTGCTTGTAAACATTGAATAAAAAGTATTACTTGACTATTATCCAGTAAATATTTTTTTGGATTTAATAAATATTATTTGAGTTAAGTAAACGGTATTTGTTTCAAATACAGAAATTATTGATTCAAATACAATTAAATTAAATTAAATACCCAGTAAAAAAACAGAATTAGGAGTAAGCGAAAAGAATTGGTGGTAACTTAAGCTGAATTCGGTTTGGCGAAAAAACCGAATTGAAACGTTACGGTGAATTATTTTTTTCTTACCATGAATTCTTTTCTCTTAAACATTTGAATTGACGTTTGTTTATTCGAGCTTGCATTATAAATGAATAAAATAAATGCTTGGAAGTCTAAAAGCCGATTTGGAATAAGAAATATATAATTTTTTAAAAAGAAAAAAAAGTGAAATGTGAAAGATTTACCGACAATTTTACCATGTGAGTATACTCATATGGTAAATTTATCATATGAACACTACTCACTTGATAAAATCGTCGGTGAATCTGTCACACTTCGCTTTCATTTATTTTTTTTAAATTATATATTTCTTATTCCAAATCGGTTTTTTTAGACTTCCAAGCATTTATTTTATTCATTTATAATGCAAGCTCGAATAAACAAACGTCAATTCAAATATTTAAGAAAAAAGAATTCACGGTCTTTAAAATGTATTTTTCTTAGTTTTGACTGTAATATATAAACAATGTAAATTTTATTTATTAGGCATATTATTTTTTAACATTACTACCCTCATAACAAAAGGATATCAATGGTCGATATCCTAGGATGGTCCACAGGATATCTTGGGATATCCAAACCGCCGGTCTGTGGGACATCAACAGGACATCCATAGGATATCCACAGGATATCCCTAAGACATCCACAAAATATCTATTGGATATTATATCGCAGGATATCCATGGGATATCCTCAGGATGTCCGTGGGATATTCTTAGGATATTCACGGGATATTTAATATCTCAACATATATTTTTAAAGGTTAAAATTGTTAAGCTAATATAATGCATAATAATATAATAAAATCAAAAATCTTATGAGCTTCTAATTTATTTTAAATGAAGATTTGAAACGCATTTTTCAAAGTTTTTAAATAAACTCATGCACTTAATGTATAACTAATATTAATAGTTATTCGTTATTTGCGGGGAAAAATTTATATTGTTTAAAGCCAATTTATTTTCTGACAATATTAAGCATATGAATATAGGAATGAATCACTAATGAGAAAAAAATTAGTTAATAATTTTTCAAATTAAACAACTTTCTCGAAAAACAAGTTGCATTTTATTTTATTTATATAAAATTTAATTCACAGAATATTCTCACTCGTAGTCTCATAATGACTTTAAAAACAGTATCCTGAGAATATCTTCTTGACATCCAGAAGATATACTGAGAATATCTTGAAAATATCTGTGGGATATCCTGACGATATCTATGGGATATCCTGATGATATCTGTGGGATATCCTGACGATATCTATGGGATATCTGGAGGACATTTATGAAAGTCTATAGAGATATCCAGAAGATATCCTGTGAATATCCTCAGATATCCTTTGGATATCCAAACTGCCGATTTTTTGGATATCCATAAGAGATCCTTTTGATATCCATAGGACATCCCTAGGATATCTGCGGAATATTATCAATATATTTTCTAAGATATCTTGTGTTATTAGGGTAAAACTTTAGGAATTTTTTTAGGAAAAATTTTATTGAATAATATAGGTAAACTATTGTTTATAAAAATTATACGAAAATTATATACTTACTCTCTGTGTCGATTCCTCTTTCGCTTAGCTTCTGATCAATCTCAGACCAGAGTTTGTTCTTGGTTTTATCATCTACACTTGATTTTTTATCATAAATAGAAGGATTTAATTTTGCGATTTTAATTAATTCATTGTTAAAATAATTATTATTTCTAGTTACAGATTTTCTTTTCATTTTATTGAATTGATATTAACAACTGCACTAAACAAGTATCAACAAAATTTTGATTACAATCAATGTCGGCATTGATATACATAAGTTCCGAAGTTCACATAGAGTGGGGGAAGCATCAGGGTATGAAGATGTAGACCTTTGTATTTCAGCCGCAAAAAGGAGAGGCGGTATCGCCAAGGAGTGTAAAATTAAAAAAGTTTGCGATGTACATATTTACACATTCAACGATTTAATTATTCACCGGCAAAGAGTTAGTACGTGGCTTAGTTTCATTAGTTTTTATTTAGTGGTAAGTAATTAATAAAATTTATTTACAAATGTTTAAATATGGCACTTAATAAGCCAGTAGTGTAATTACGTTGTTCCTCTTGAATTCTAGTTTAAAAATAAGAAAAAACTTTTAGATGTACAATTTGTTTTGAAAATTTCTAATTTTTGTGAAAAACTAAATTAATAAAAAAATTTATGAAAGTCAATATGTAAACAAAACTCTGACGCTGTTTATTTTTGTGCCGGAAAATTGCAAATAATCCAATATCACACGTCAGAAAATGCTAATTTTCGCTCATGGTGAAGAAAGTACTTTGTGCAACCTCTGCAAAAAAAATTCTTTCTGCAACAACTACAAGAAAAGCATGAAATCAAAATAATAATCAAAGATTATTATCAAAAATGATTTAATTACAAATAATTTTCAGAGAACCTTAGGTATTTCTTTTATACATTAAATGAGTCAAAGCTTTTTTAAGCATTGAACTTATTAAATAAGCAGTACAGCTTTTCATTTCAAAATTATTTAATTTAAAAGATATTAGTTAAAGAATGTTCTCTTTAAATAATTTTAAAAAAATTAACTTTCGAAGAAGTTAATTATTTTACAAATTATATATTGCATAAATTGGCTCGGCAAGTTGAAGAGAATCTTCTTCAGAGAAGAATAAGCCATCATTCGTTTCAATTATTAAATAATTTTGAAAAGACTTTAATTCAAGAAAGTATCAAAAAGTTATATCTATTAAATTTTGATTTTTAATTAAATAATTTTTAATTCTGCTAATTTGACTATTTTTTCGGGACATTAAAAATTTTAAAAAGTTGATTCAGTAAATAACAAGGTATTAATTTAAAGTTATTCTTTTCTCAGCCCAATGGAGAATATAAATGAGACTACTATTTTGATACAATTAGTATCAAGACACCAAGCACTCTATGACAAATCAAGGAATGATTATAAGAATATAATTTAAAAAAAGAAACTGTGGGAGATTATTGCTTCCGAAATGTATGTGACGCTGGAGAAAGAGACTTCAGGTAATTTAACTTCAATAACTTTTATGTAACAGATTCCATATATTACTATGCTAAAATTAATACCATATAAAAATGGTCCTATATGAGACAAAAATTTTCAGAGGAACAGAAGAAAATCCGAAAATATATCCCATCGGGTTCAGCAGCACAAGAAATTTCTTCAAATTGGCCTTATTATGAAGATATATCAGGTGTTTAATTTTTTCCATTTTTACTTAATAATAGAATTTCGTGGTCAGAATATCATTATTAATATTCTACGGAATATTAATTTACAAAAAATAATAGTTAAGACAAACAAAATTTTGTATTTCAATATCATAATTCATAAAACTGTCAATTGCTGCCAATAAAATTTTAAACAAATAAAGAATTAATAAAATAAAAATTTTGATATTAAAAACTGGATAATGTATGAATAAAAAAATTGAAGTCGTCGTATTAAAATTTAAATTATTTAAAATTCATTTTAAACACAAATTTCTTTAAATATAAAGTCTATGAAATAAAAATTAGGAAATATCTAAAATATACTTTTTCCATTCCATACTTTATAAAATTATAATAAATTTTTTTAATAAACCGTAGTACATATAGTAGGTACTACTATCTAGAAAGGGCATATGGGGATAAGTATGTTAAAATTGCCCCCGCACGTATCAGGCTTATATTTGCACCATGTATTGCTATTTATATGAGTATGAAGTTCTGTAATTTTCAAGTCTCTATTTGCATTTTTTTGGGAGTTATAGAGGGGGAAAGAAAAATCAAAAAACTCAATTTTCTCAGAAACTTCTTGACCGATTTTAAAAAAATTTAAATATGTTATAAGTGACAGTAAAAGAAATTCAAAAAAAAAATATCAAAATTTTTTTTCCAAAAATACTCAAAAAAAACCGATTTTGAAATTTTCAAAAATTTTTTTTTTCATTTTTTTTCAAGTCTCTATTTGCATTTTTTTGGGAGTTATAGAGGGGGAAAGAAAAATCAAAAAACTCAATTTTCTCAGAAACTTCTTGACCGATTTTAAAAAAATTTAAATATGTTATAAGTGACAGTAAAAGAAATTCAAAAAAAAAAATATCAAAATTTTTTTTCCAAAAATACTCAAAAAAACCGATTTTGAAATTTTCAAAAATTTTTTTTTTCATTTTTTTTAACCTCAAAATTTTTTTTAAAAGTGTTCGTCTAAACACCCCATTTAACATATATTTTTTTCAAATTTTTTGAAGAGGTACTTAGGGGCGAAAAAAATTTAAGTTTTCAAAAAACACATTTTACTCTTGAACTACTGGACTAGAAATAAAATTGGGTTATATTTGAGCATTTGAGCATAAAAAGACTGAACTAAAGATGCTTCTCGTAAGCTGATTGGAATGAGTGGGTCCGAAGAATTCGATTTAAGTAGCCCTGAAAAGGGCTGATTGGAATGAGTGGGTTTGAAGAATTTGATTTATGTAGCCCTGAAAAGGGCTGATTGGAATTAGTGGGTCTGAAGAATTCGATTTAAGTAGCCCTGAAAAGGGATGATTGAAATGAGTGGGTTTGAAGAATTTGATTTATGTAGCCCTGAAAGGGCTGATTGGAATGAGTGGGTCCAAAGAATTCGATTTAAGTAGACCTGAAAAGGGCTGATTGAAATGAGTGGGTTTGAAGAATTTGATTTATGTAGCCCTGAAAAGGGCTGATTGGAATGAGTGGGTCTGAAGAATTCGATTTATGTAGCCCAGAAAAGGGCTGATTGAAGCCCTTATACTCTACCTCTTTCGCAAGAGTATTTTCTTTATTTTTTTGGGTGTGCATTCTTTGCAAAACTTCATTACAAATACGAACATCAGACTGGAACCTTTTCCCAAACGTGTTATTCAGAAATGCTGCAATTTTAAAATAACTCCCGATTTTTGGTAACAATTTATTATCAATTTTATGATCCAAAAGTCGATATTTTTGTTTAATAATGCCATGCTCTGATTCAACAGCCCAGCGAATTTTTGTGACAAAACGCGAATCATTAGATTCTTCTGTGGATAACTGCTTTCTTTTACCCTTTAAAGCTGGCATTAGAACTCTAAAATTATCTGCTTCCAATGTAGCTTTAACGTCGCGGAAACCACGGTCGAGAACAAAAATATCGCCTTCTTCCAAGATTTTACGCAAACCATTTTGATCCTTCATTACGTCTTCTAAAATTGACGCATCATTTTGGTTTGCTAAATATGGCCCAAGCATATCAACCACAAAACCATCTGTAGTGCATATAGTAAATGGTTTGCACAAAGGGACTTTCTTCTGACCAGAAAATGACTTTCGCTGGTATTCATTATTTGTGCTCTTCTGATGTCTAGCGTATGTACCATCGTGAATGTGAAACAATTTATCACTAACATTGTACAATTTTTTAGCTAATTCAGTGGTGTGATTCTGAATTAGATCATCTCTATTAACAGACTGAATGCCAAATCGAGTAGGTAAAACGTCATTTTTGAATGACTTCATTACAGAAGAGCAATAATCTGAAACATCGTGTTGGTTTTTTAATTTAAAAATGGAAGCTATCATTTTGTTAGAATTTCCGGTCCTGAGTTTAAATAAGAAAATCATAAGTGCTTGGAGCACAGATCGAGATTCGGTGTTTCGTAAAGAAGTTAACATTTCCATTAAAGTGTTTAATTCTTTTGAATTTAGTCCTGTAAAAACTTCTATTTGTGTTTCTGTTAAAGTGCAATTGTCAACTTCAGCTAATAACAAAGAGTTGCAATTGACTGTTAGATTTTGCATTAACTTAGAAAACTCTTCTTCTGTAAGTCTTGCTTTGTTAGAGTGTACTCTCAAACGACAAAGATCTTCTTCAAACATTTTATCTTTAATTAAATGAGAACGACAACATCTATTTCCAACAGGAATGTATATTTTCCTCTTAATGTATGCCGAAATTCTAGTTTTCTCTGGAATCAAAGTCAGATCATCAGACTTTGAACAGACACAGCAATATTTATGAGTAGAGACAGTTCTTTGCATGGGAACTTCAATAGTCTCGATCTCAGAAGCAGCACCGATTCTTCGACATTTAATTTCAAAGTCTTTATCCTCAGAATCTGAATTGTCTGCACTGGAATGTGAAGCAGAATTTATTTCGGTACTTGTTGTTTTATAAATAGAAAGACGACAAGTTTGACACAAAATGTCATCGATTAATATTATTCGATTTAAAGCTGAAGAGTAAGTCGTGGTTTCAATTTCTGTTTTTATGATTTTCTTTTTTCCTTTCTTTTTTTTTTGAAATACGTCACAACCTGAACATTTAAGGTTTAAGACGCTCGATGCAGACATGTTAAATTATAATAATAAAATAACACAATACAAGAAACGATTTGGGTAAATAGTTATTATTGATGTAGTCAATACGAATACCTTATACAGATAAAACTAAAATATTTCAACCGACTGAAGATAATTGAAATGGACAAAAATGTAATTATTAAGGATTTACAGATGCACCATATAGGTTGAGCCAAAAATCCACGTTAAATAACTCAATGAATGTTCTCTTCCCATACAATTATAGAAATAAATAATAGATTGAAGAAATCGTTGTGCCGTTGATATCTTTTGCACTAAGCAACGCCTATGTGAAGAAAAGTTTTGTAACTGTTGTAAGCGTATTTTATTAACACTATGGCTAAAACTGTAACTACTGAGAGTATCTAAAATGATTATGCAACCTCCAAAAGAGATTACAATACGGAAATACCATGTATTACATGTGCTTATGAGATAAACAGTAGTTTATCTTTTTTATTTTTTTACATTTACATCTATATTAATAAAATCAGACTTTTGTCTGTACATTGCTCCAAATTAATTTTTTCTTGCATAGTTTATCATTTTAAGTAGTAAAGATAACAAATATGCCATAAATAAAAATTCTGTCTGTCTGTCTATCTGTCTGTCTGTCGTCAATATTTTGTACCGGCAATTTTGTCAGATTGATTTGAAACTATTTGTACCTAATTTTTTCACATAAATACAATCAATTTTTTTATTAAATTAAGTAAATAGTGTGAATTTAAAAGTCTAAATCAAATTTTTGAATTTCCAATTTTTTTAATAACATTGTAATATAAGAATTCGTTATGTTCAACTTTTTATAAGTAAAACAATAATGTTTTTAGTCTGTTGGGTATTAAACGCAATCTTAGCTGCACACCAATGAAAAATATTAATTTAAACAAAAATATGACACTTTCAAAAAATTTAACATTTTTTATTTTTTGATAATTCTTTACTAAACGTTCTTTATTTAAAATTTTGTGACCAATTAAGTATGCTTTTAACAAGAAATTTTAAGAATTTTAATTTAAGAATTTTATCAGAATTTTAAAATTAATAATTGCAAATCTGAATATGAAATCAGATATTGTAAAAATAAAAAATCGAAAATTCCTTTTTTACTCTTTGAAATTAGCAATTATTATATTTAAATTATTATTATTATTATTGAATATTATTATTATTATTATTATTATTATTATTATTATTATTATTATTATAGATACAAATTATTTTTAAATATAATAAAACTAAATAAACTAAATAAACTGAAATATAATATAATAAATATAATAAAATTAAATTATTTTCATAATTACATCCAACTGTACGTGTTCTCCTGTATTAAAATATCTTTTTATAAATTTTTAATTATTATTTATTCAATTCAATTTAATTTTTTCACTGCTTTTAATAAAATTAAAATAATTTAAAATTGTATTTAATTTTATAGTATTGAAAATAAAAATTATTTTAATCAATACAATTTAAATTAAAATTTTAAAAAACTTTAAAAATTATTTAAAGAATAAATTTTTAATAGAAAAATTTTATTTAAAAATTTATTCTTCAAATAATTTTTAAAGTTTTTTAAAATTTTAATTTAAATTGTATTGATTAAAATAATTTTTATTTTCAATACTATAAAATTAAATACAATTTTAAATTATTTTAATTTTCTTAAAAACAGTGAAAAAATTAAATTGAATTGAATAAATAATAATTAAAAATTTATAAAAAGATATTTTAATAAAGGAGAACACGTACAGTTGGATGTAATTATGAAAATAATTTAATTTTATTATATTTATTATATTATATTTCAGTTTATTTAGTTTATTTATACAATTTAAATTAAAATTTTAAAAAACTTTAAAAATTATTTGAAGAATAAATTTTTAAAAGAAATTTTTCTATTAAAAATTTATTCTTTAAATAATTTTTAAAGTTTTTTAAAATTTTAATTTAAATTGTATTGATTAAAATAATTTTTATTTTCAATACTATAAA